TGCATACAACTGTCATTGGTGCATTCACAAGTTATTACTTGTAAGCAATGCTGCAAGCACTGTGGTTATTTGGTGCTGTAAGAAGATGTAACATATGGTATTTTGCCAATTCTAAGGTTTTGATTTATAATGATATAGTAAAGCTTCAGGAAGACAGCTCATGGTCATCTGGAGAAGTTGGTTGGTTGAATAATTTTCTAGGAAACCTCAGGAGGGCAGTATTATGAATTGCAAAATGTGTTGAGGCTGAATGACCAAGGTTTCATTTGAACCTCGGTGCATTATTTAGGTGCTGTGGAACAGCAGTTCTAATTTTTTTAATTTTTTTTTTTTTTTTTTTAATTTTGCCAGCTAACTTTTAGTTAGCATATTTCTATTCTAAGAAAATATAGTGGGAAGTAACTAACTGGGTGCTTGTTGTACACAGACGTTTAAGCCTGCACAGCCGTCATGCTGTGATCAGAGCAGCTGTCCTGCAGCTTTAGCTACAACTCCTCTTTGGTCAGAGTAAGACAGAGGGTAAATATGATTTGCTTGGTAGGAAAGAGGCTTAGTAAGTTATGTTTGTGGAATCATTTATTGTAAATTTAGCTTTTTCTGAGATGGCGGACTAATTTTGAAGCCAGATGTGTCATAATCAATTGACAACTTTGACTCTTTTGCTTTTTAATCGAGTAGCTTGGGTAATGCTACAATGGATGTGACTATGCTGTCAGTTTAGAGCAGAAGTAATTAGAGAATTTGCCATACATATTTAAATCTGGATTGTTCCCCTTTCTCACCTCTAACTGTAGGCAGCTGCTCTGGTGGCTTCTCTTCTGGCATTACTGTGAGAAATGGGCCAGAAGGTCGGCCTATGTTAACACTCAGGCAGTGACTATTTATAAACTCTTCTAAACTCTCAAATTATGTTACTGGTTTTTATAGACAAAGGTGACAACAGGGGTTTCCAAATGTCGAAACAAGATGTGGACAGAGCAATGAGTTACATCCATCAGTGAGGTTGTGACTGGCTTTAGGGATCTGTAGTGCTTGTTGGTTGGAGACTGGAATGAGCCCTTGCATATTGGTCAAAGAAAAGTAAGCTCTGTTGGTTTTTGTTTCTTTTTTCAAAACGGTTCTTAAGGTATGTTTCCTAGGCTGTTTTGAGGAATACCCAATTAGAGGCAGTTGTAAGATGATTACGAGGAGGACACCCCTATTTTCCAGGTGATGGATGTATTAGGCTTTCATTACCAAGCAAATGAACTGCGTCTGGGGGAAAAGTAGTTGTAGCAGGAAAAAAAAAAAAAACAAACAAAAACAAAAATCAAACCAACTTTCCTTGCTTACAGGGTGGCTGGTTTCTGCACAGCTGCCAGGATTTGAAATGCCGGCTTCAGGGCAAATCAATTGCCATGTGAGCTGAAGACGCATTTTCTATAAATTTCCAAGTTGCAGTTATGCCAACTTCGACTTTTCCTTTAGTCTGAAGCTTAGTATTCCTCTGCTAGGGTTTGACTGCCAAACTGCCGGTGTCAGAAAGAGGACCGTGTCCTGCTAGAGCGGCTCCCGCTACCCAACAGGAAAGCGTTTCTGCCTGAACACACAGGTGCCTGTGCAGGTCACTTCCCCAGGCCAAGAGCTGCCTTGTCAACAAACCAAGCTGTGAAGTGCTCCTGCAGCTCCTGCCTTTCCTGTCAGCTCTCCATGGCTGCTGTAAATAAAAGGGCCTCCCTATTGCTGTGATAACCGATCTATAGCACAACTAACATCCTTGAGTAAAAGATAAGGGCTTGCCAAACCCCAGCTGTTCTGGCTGTCTGAAACTAAAGAACAAATCTTTTTGATAGCCCTTCAGATCAGGGTGAGTTTTCACGTCTGACGTGGGTTTGCCAAGTGCCAAGGTTCTGCAAGTTCGGTGTAGTGTTCACATTCAGCCATAGTGCTTTGAAGTGACTGAAAATAATGTTATAGCCTTTACCTGGAAATCCCATAGGTGTCCTGTTCTCGGGAGAATTTTTGTATGTTGAAATAATTCTCAAATGTGATTTTTTGAACTACAGTTACATTACATTCATCTATTTGTAAACCATCCTTAAGAAACATATAAATTGTAAGTGGAAAGGGTAAAAATGGAAGGAAAATCGACTTCCTTATGCTATTCCGTACAGGGAATTGGGAACAGAGAATATTAAAATTTCATGTTTTACTAGCTAATTAGAGTCAGAGAACTTAAAAAAATTACGTCAGGAGTACCATGCATACTCAGCATCAGCTTTTGGTAGATATTTTTCCTTTTTTAAAGACAGGATGGATGAAATATCTTTAGGGATACTGAATTTTAGTATTTTCAGTTTCAAAGGAATCTTTCTGTTCTAAAACTTTTTAGTATTTAAATGCAGTATTCTGGTTTTGATAATCCTGTGTAATTTCTTGCCTGTGAAGAGCTTTACAGAAGCAGCCGTTTTGACTATGGCTTGTTTGTTCCTGTAATCTTTGAGTATGTTACATTTCATTCTACTAGAATCAAATGTGACTGTCGTATGCAAGTGATCAGTTCAAAATTAAAATGAATGTAGTCTTCAAGTCAGTGACATGCACTGTGGATTTTGTTTTCCAGTGTCTGAAACTACGAGTGACGAAACATGTCTCAGTCCGGTGAAAAAGTGAAGGTAAAGAGATGGCTGCATAGCCAAAATTTTGCTTAGAATCTATTCAACTTCTGAAAATACTTGTGGTTTTACTGACATGCTAAAATAGTGAATAAATGATACCTTATTGCTTCAGTTGCCTTTCTTAAAGGGAACTGTTTAGTTGAAACAGAGCTTGCATGTGAGCCTAGTGATAGGCTTTCGAATGTTTGCCAGATGTTCAGTGTTTGCTTACACGTTTAGGATGATGCCTTTACCTAAGGAAATTTCATTTGACAAACCTTCAGTTCTAATGTTTTTGCCCATCTGTGTGGGTTTTAAAAGGATTGTTAGCAAATAACTAATTACCTTTTGAGGGATTTCCCCTGTACCCCCCTCTGCCCCACTGGAAGTATGGTATTGTATAAAAACTATTCTCAAACTCATCTGTGAAGAAAACATTTGGTTCCAGCTAGCTCATAGGTCCCTAAATCAAGTGGCTGCAGTTCTTATTTAGGCTCCTATTAGGATTTCGGTCAATTGGTAACAGATGGTGAAGCAGAATGCCCTTTTTATAGCCCAAATCTCTTTGATAAGTTTTTCAGGCACGTTTCTTTTTCCTGCTTTTGTGTTAGAAGTTAACCATTGTGAAGATAGGTGAACAGTTTAACAAGCAGAAGATAAATCTCTGTGATTCTATCTTGGCAATCTCTGCATTACTATACAATGTTCTTGTTTTTCTACATGTGAGTGTATGCATTATTTATGTTTATAGAAGATAGTAGCAGCATGGTACCTTATTTGTCAAACCAGGACAAGCAGATACCAAATTTAAACAGATATTTTTCACCTCTAGCTTAAAATCTCTGGGATTTTTAGCTATGTTTACAGTTTAAGATTCATAATAGCATGTTCTTGCAAGCTTGCAGATTATTAAGGAGAGACTTTTGTTTGTGTGCAGCCCAAGGTACTTACGAGATTTCTATTTATATCCGACTGGTTGGTAAACGGGCCTGTTTCAAGGTCTGCCTTGCTATAGCAGCAAAAAATTGTTTCATTCTCTATTTTTTCCATGTGCTTTATATACCTCTGCACTTTATTGTATAGAAGCAACTGAACTCTGTTTCAACTTTTTAGGGGGAAGGGGATCTCATTTGTACTCAACTTTTGTTTTCTTGTCAGTTTTCCGACTCAGCAGGCTATGTGGGATTCGCTAATCTGCCCAACCAGGTTCACAGGAAATCTGTGAAGAAGGGCTTTGAATTCACGCTCATGGTGGTTGGTAAGTGACTCGTTTAAGTATTTTTGACTGAACAACAACAAAAAAATTTATTTCATAGACATATATGTCTTCCTACTTAGCAATTGACTGTTATACAGAGGAAAAAGCTTTGAACATCTATACACTCTCTAATTAAAACTCTTACTATTTTGTTGTGTTTGGTAGGGGGGAGTATATATAATTATTAAAGATCGTGACTTTGAGCCAACAGGACATTCTTGTATTCCTGACTCATCGTCAGATGGTAGGGATAGTTGCTTAATCTTTCTTTGACTCCCATTTCCCCCACTGAAGGCATGAATGCACATGGTGAATATCTTGCTGTTGAAATGGTGACACCATTGTGTTTTCTGCTGTTCTGGACTGACTCACTCTGGTATTAAAACTAAACTTCTAATTTGCCTGTTCTGTGAATGAGCACCTGTAGGAGTCTTTGGTGGAAAGTTATTTAGGCACAAAGCTGTTTTAAGTTTTTGAATTATACTTGGATTGAATCAGTTTAATGTTATGCAAGTGCAAAGCAAGTCCATAGTACTAGTACTATGGTACTATAGTACTTTTTGTAGTAGTTACCTTGGAACTACATGTTACTGAAAAATGAAAATGAGAAGAGATGTGTAACGCTTCCCTCTCATTCTCTGTGCCCTGTAATACCATTTGGAATTATCTGGTGACAGAGCGTTCAGCAATGTCTGTAAAAAATAAGTAATTTGGAATAAGTGTAGTTTTTTTATTTCATGTAGTTTGTGATGATAAATACGGATAACTTCTCCATCTCTTAAGATTAGGTTAGTAGCATCTAACTACAGCCAATTGTTCTAATGCTGACTCCTTTGATTCTTTGGGTTAGGAAAAAAAGTGGCTTCTTGAAATTCAGATTTAGTAATTGCATTTACAGGTTTAACTTTATTACTTTGATGTAGGACAAAATTTGTATGACCTGAAGTTCTAGAATTATGGAACTTCTCAGGTGAATTTTGAATAATTTTCTTATGATTTTGTTTCATGTTTCACAGGACGTATGTAGCCTAACTATAAGGGCGCAAAGCTCAACTCTTAGTTTGGGATTGCTTTATTCATTCTCCTTCCTAACAGAGTTCCAGGTTCAATTTCTAGCTTAGGAAAACCATAAAGCCCTCAAACTTTAAACAAGAGGGTTACAGCTCCTGATTTTGTAAGTTTAAATGAAAAAAAGCTTTTATTTCCCTGAAGTACCCTAACTATCTCTAGATCTATAGTCAAAGTGCTGTATGACCTTTCAGCTATTATTATGAAATCTATTACAGTAAACTTAGCATTTTCATGTAACATTTATAAAAAGACCAGAGGCTTGTTTTTCCTGTGTTTTTGAAGTGCTTAGCTGAACCTTTGATGTTTTTATCTCAAAAACTAGGGTGGATCCTGATGAACAAATTTTTTTTCCTCTATAATGTGGGCTTGGGGAAAGAGGAGGTGCTTTTAAAAGCCTGGAGTAAAAAGTATATATGCTTAATAACCTGAATTATTTTGTTTGTAGGTGAGTCTGGCTTGGGAAAATCCACTTTAATTAACAGTCTGTTCCTGACTGATCTCTATCCAGAACGTTATATTCCTGGAGCTGCAGGTAAATGTGGTTTCGCAGTTCCTCCAGCACATACCGTATGAAATTTCATGTTCTTCCAGTTAACATTGCTTCATGCTGATAACTTCACCCATAAGACCCTCCCTTCATGCTGTCTAGATGTATTTTAATCCTCCAAATTGTATTTTTTTGGAGCTGTCACTTTCTCATTTATATTTCCTTTCAAAGACTCAGCTTTTGTTGTTTCTTCATCAATTGTTATTAAAAAAAAACAAGCCCCCAAACCTTTTAGGTGTCAATAAACCTAAATGTGGTTTTGCTCTAATCCCCATTTCCTCTAATGTTATTTGCCTGTAATGCTTTAAATCCTGGCTAGAGGCAGAAATACCTTTTGCTGAAGAATCTAGCATGCTTCTGAGTATTATAACTTTATTTTTGCATATTGTCATGAGTAAATCGCCTTCTTTTAGCTCATTGCTGCTTGTTTATTTACAAAAAAAAATGCAGTGTTAACTAGCTAGCTTTGGGTTTTTTTTTCTTGAAAATATTTTATGCCATATGGGCTACAATACACTGCAGATCGCATTTCCTTGTCTGTTGCTCTCTCCTGCAGGGGTTTCTGCAGCAATTGATAGGCGTAATAACAATCAAAATGTTCCTTTATTTTAGAGAAAATAGAGAGAACTGTTCAAATTGAAGCTTCTACGGTAGAGATAGAAGAGCGAGGGGTGAAACTGCGTTTAACAGTAGTTGACACACCAGGATATGGAGATGCCATTAACAGCCAGGATTGGTATGTGTGTAAATACTGCTTTGCTTGATGGAGTTTGTATCTTACACAAACACTACTCTCATGTGTCTGTTTCTCTGAAGTTAGGTGATCCAGCTGGTGGTCTTTAGATAACTTTGATGTACTAAAAGGAAGCAACAGGTTCATTATTCTTAACGTTAATAAAGCGTTATCTTGAATTCACAGTAGAGGGTCTTTGCAGTTAAGCACAATTTTCTAAGGACTTCTGCATTTGGGGTGCTCATCTTCGTATCCTCACTGACATGATTTGGTTTGTGTGAGCTTTCAAATCAGTTTTCTCTTACAATTTTTGTAGCCTAAAATGCACGTCTCATAAAAGTGTATTGCTTTGTGCAACTTCCTGTTTCAATTTTCTAACCACTTTGTTTTTAAAAGATTTGGTTAGTGTTCTCTAGGCTGTCTTGTGTTTCTCCCCCAAAATTAATGGCCTTTCTTCCAGTAAGGTTCTCTGTGACAACTGCAGTCAACTTTTTGTCTCCATAGGTGCTCCGATAGGGTGGAATTCTGGTGGAGGGAAATGTTTTCTTTGTCTTTCCTGTGCCTCTGGCCCATACAATTTCCATGTTTTTAAGACATTTCATTCCCTGTCCTTTATATGTACTACTAGCAATTTGGATAGAACTGTATTTTTTTTATGACAGAGCTACTTTGTAGCTGTGTCTGGGCTAAATATCGTTGATAATCTTTAGCAGCTGAAATAATTGTCTGAGGATACACTGGAAAACATACATAATTACTTTAGCATAAAGCTCATAAAGAAAGAAAATGGTAAAATAGCTATGAAGGAACTGGGCAGTTTGTAACAAAATTAGAATTAATAAGTTGGTTCATAAATGTAATTTCCAAGTTATCATCCTCATGCACTTTTCTTTAAGTGTGGAAAACTGATCCTGTGATGACATTTTTCAAGTGAGATACATTAACATGCTTACTAGGATGCCTGAATTATTCCAGTGCAACTAGAAGCTAAACTTTGAATTTCCACAATTGTCTTGTAAGAATTGCTAACAATATTTATTTTGTTTAGCCATTAATTTTTCTTTACACTTTTTTGTGGTGGTAATCCTAAGGCAAATAGTCAGTGTGCAGAGAAAGGGAGCATAAAGCTAGTGCTGCTTGATTTAAGTTCTTCTGTATAAGTTAAAGATCAGGGAGGCAAACAGCTGATAAAATAAACATCTGTAATGCTAATAGAATGTTTTGTAGTATTTTCGTGACCAAATGCCGTGTTATCTGGAGCATTGTGATGAACATTGTTATTAGACATGGTTTTTCTTTTCTTTCTATGGAAAGAAACTGTAGAAACACAGCAAAAATGAAGGCAGTGGAGTTATGTTGTATACTAAATGGAAGTTTGAAAGTGAAGCTGTAGTGGGATTTTTGTTTTCCTACTTTATTAAGTTAAAAATAATTGAACTTTGAAAGTAACACTGAGACATCTTTCTGGACTGCAGCATGGTCTTGCTTATTTTGTGCGCTGTTGACTAGAGCTTCCTTCCGCTGGAGCTAAGAGCTCTGCAGCTCGTGTATTGTGTTACATAGAGCTCTTCCTGTTGATTGTGTTCTAATGCCTTTTGTTTATTCTGCTAAAATGTTTCTTAGAGACCTACGTGTTCAGATTTTTCCCCTTTCTCTTTGGAGGCTTGGAATAGAGTCATTCCTTGATGATTCAGACCCAGTAGAACAGTTTACTGCTTTATACTTCATTTTCTGTGTCAAATCTTAAACATCAAATACATTACAGGAACAAATAGTACTTTTATACTACAAAATAAAAAGATACAGTTAATTTTAATTGTATCTCTTTAGTCCCATTTTCTTTTTTAGAAATAATAGATAGAATTGTATTTCTTTAGTCCCATTTTTAGTCACATAAAAAGAGTTTGAGCCACGATGAGCGTCATTTTGACAAAGCTTGTTAATCTTTACAGGATGTCACAGGGACTTGGATGGATAGACTCTTTGTTTCAAACTATAGTCAAGACTAACCCAGTGCAGCTGCCTCCCTTCCTTGCTAGTTCAGAGGAAGCAGTGAGTTCGTGTTCTTGAACTTATGTTTGTGTTCAGGAGCATTTACTGCAATTACGGTTAACCGGTAGATGGTGCTGATCTCGATCCACGTTTTGTAAAGCACTTTTTTGGGGAAAGCTGCAATTTGTGCAGACTACCTGTTTTTCAAGGTGATGAATTTTACTAAGGTTATTTTTGAACAGAGGTAAATCAAATGGGCACAGTGTCCCTAGGAGGCAGCAACTGCTGATACTGTTTCAAATATCTTTCTCCTGAGTAGGTTTCCTATTGATGAAAGGGCTTAATTTTAGAGTTTGACTTTCAAGGTTGGGAGGTGGGGTCAATTTTTGTGTATTTTTCCATTGCAGAAGAAATGCTGGTAAGGATTATGTGTTGTCAGGTGTTTGTCCAAGGGGTCTCCTGGAAGAATAACAGTATTGGATTGACAAATGAGTTGTTATAGATTTAGTACAAAACATTCTCTAAAGTAGATTTTTTTTTTTCCCAAATGCTATTGTACTTAAAACAGCCTGTAAGAAAAGGTGGATGCTAACCACATTTAACCGTAGTTAATTTTTTAGATACTGTGTGAAGCTTCAGTACTAGCCTGGAATGCTCTTGGCATCAGTTTAGGTGTGTGTTTGGAGAATAGTAAAACTCTGTATCGTCGAAGGTTTGAAGCATACAATGGCTCTTCCTTGCATAAGGACATTGGCATCATGAGAGAAGTATTTCCTTAAAGTAACATCTTTCATCAGACAGAAAGGATCCGAGGCGGGGAAGAAAAAGAAATTGCTTCATGCACAGATTTGGGATCAAATCTGACATCAGAAGGATGGTTGACAAAAACAGTCTACAAATTACATAGTGCTGATCGTATGTCTTGTTTCATCTTGGTTGTAGTGTTGCAGGTAATTCTTTGATAACTGCTTTCTGGCTGCTGCTAACTTGCTTTTTTTATGGACTTAAGTTGTATTTTGTGTTTTTTGGCAGCTTGGTAATATTGTTCGTTTCCCCCAATGAGTTTAAATGCAACAGTTGTGTTGTTTGGTGTTAAAATACAGGATGTGCTATCTCCTCAGTAATGACAACGCAGTGGTGTAAGCCAGGTGTTTCCCGGAAGTCAGAAGGTACAGGACACTAACGCCATATTTATAGGGAAAATTATAGCTGTTAGAGCTAGAAAACTGCACGTAAACTAATGACATTGCCAGATAAATGTGTGATAGTTGCTTCCCCATTGTTTGTGCTTGGTTTCTGTCCTAAGATCTGTGTGTCTTCAGTCTCGTTGCCTTTCACCGGCTAAGAGGAGAGTAGCTAAGATCAACAGGAACATAAAACATGTTGTCCTTTTTCAACACATTTAGGCATTAAGGTGCTAGTTCTTAGAGTTGAGCAGCACTAAAATAAATTCCAATGTTTTTCTGTGTTGTCTTCTGTAGTATGACTTAGAACAGTGCAAGTCTGGCAAAGGTATAAACGTGTATATATAGTCTACTATGGGTTTATTCCTCCTAGATCCAAAATCTTACTCAGCTTTGGAAAATAAAATTCCCTCCAGGTTCTCTTCCATCATTCTTGTTACTTTCTTTCATTAACTTCATTACAGGTACGCAGCCCAGGGTTGAACTTTGCTGCCTGTCATGGTATTTGCCATCATTCTATGTGTTGGTTTTCCAGATTACTAATTCTTTTTTTTGTGTGTTCTCTTGTCTGTTCCCTGCTTAAATTCCTCTAGTCAAATTTCACTTTCTCAACAACAGAAATGCTATTTTCCAAGTTAAGCTTTCTGCTCCGTTTTTTCCCAAGTAGTTTAAGATATGTTCATGACACACAATCATCTACCTAATCTTATCTTGATCAGTGTGTTCATTTCCCTTCCCCTGCACTACTTAATATAAAGTGTCCTTTTATATTAATGTTGTTTACAGGTGTCTACATGCTCTGGAATATCTTAAAACAATCTTCTTAGTAATGCATTATGTTTTCTTTTCTCTCTCTGGTCACTGCTTTTTGTATCTGATTAATCTACATGATTGAATTTTGTCTTCCTTTACTTCTTTGCAGGGCATATTTTAAATAGCCTTGAACTAAGTAGGAATTATTTTTCTTTGCCAACAGAAAAGGATTCTGTAAGGTAACAAAAATAGCTTAATAAATCATGTGATGCTTTAGTGCATGACTTGCAAACGTATTTGTACTTAATTCAAACAGACTAGAATACCAGAATTTTCACAGGTAACTATAGAAACCTAGCTGTAGGGTCAGGGTTGTAAATCAAGAGGATATCCGGGATATGTCCTTTGTCAGCTGGTTTAAAAACAAATCCTCACTCCTTACCCCAAGAAAAAAAGCAGAAAAATCCTTAGTCTTCTGTTCCTGTCTGTGTTGTCTCGGCACACTGAGTGCTTTTTTTCTGAGCTTACACTTGAACTTTTTATCCAGTGGACAGAGTAACACTTGAAAGTAGTTCTAGGTGTAAATAGACATGGTGGTTGCTATGAAAATATCTTTTTTGCATTATCAAAATACTTTTCCTCAGGAGTAGATACAATGCTAGGAAGTTGAATTTTTATAACAGAAATGTTCTTAATAAAGGTGTGATTCTCCTCCTTATGTTCTTATCTTTTTATAATTCTTTTTTTATTATTTTAAAGCTGATCTAAGATGCCTCTCTTTCTCTCCCTCCTGCCCCTCCCCATACCACAGCTTCAAAACAATTATCCAGTACATTGACAACCAGTTTGAAAGATACCTTCATGATGAGAGCGGTCTAAACAGGCGCCACATTATAGACAACAGAGTCCACTGCTGTTTTTACTTCATCTCTCCCTTTGGCCATGGGTAAGAAAAAGCTCTTGAGCTCTTGTGTTGTAGGGCGTTATATTGTGTTCATAAGTCTGTTCATTACTTGCACTGGAAACTTAACTTTAATTGAGTTACTTCCTACACCGTCAGTTAGCCAGTGCAATTAAAACGGTCTTTGGGGATTAATGCTCTCCTCTTCTTTGTCCCCTTTTTGGCATGTAATATTGTTTTGAAGCAGTCAGTATTATGCTGTTTATCACCTAGAAACATAAGAGCTTATAATATCCGATTTATTTTATAGTGGCAATTTTAATCGCAATTCAACCTTTATACAAGCAAGCTGGTAAGGAAGTGCTCTGTCTTAATTTATTCTGGAAGTACTATTTATGTAGATACTTGAAATAAATAAATTTTAATACCTTCGGTCTGTTAAAAACCAACCAACCAAACCCGATCCTTTTTCCCCCTCTATTTTTTTTTTTTCCCCTTGTCGGCAGGCTGAAACCGTTAGATGTAGAATTCATGAAGGCTCTTCATGGAAAAGTCAACATTGTCCCTGTGATTGCCAAGGCTGACACACTGACGCTGAAGGAGAGAGAAAGGCTGAAGCGAAGAGTAGGTCTAACACTTGATCATGAGAACAATGCAACCCTTGCAATGTTAAAGCCAAATATAAAGTAAATTCAAACTGAAGAGGGGTGAATGATATTGGCCAAGGACCTAATCTTCAGGAAGTGTGAGGTGGGAAATCTTCACTGAAGTCAGATGTGCTTTACCACTTACACTTGCTGAGAATCTGGCTGTTCTCAGCTTCATCTATTTTAGCAAGCAGCGCACACCAATAAAGCAGGTCTTGAGAAAAGCAATTTGTAACACGGGCTCAGATCATCCTGAAACGTATGTAGTGTAGATAGTTCAGATTAGCTCTCATTTGGTCTAGTGGACTGAATGCCCATTAGTGGTGGGAGTGCATTAGATAGGTTCTGAGGGTATATCTTTAGGTTTAGTTTCATCCGAAAGAAACTTGGTTTGCGTACTCTAGCTGTGCTGCATGGTTTGTAGAAAAATGTGGTTAAATCGGGATGGTTGGAAACTTGCTTAGTAAGTGTACCCATGATACAAACTAAAACACTAGTATAGGGCTAATATATTAGCAGGATTTTCTTTGTAGCTCCATTGTTACGGAAAATAGTAGGTCTTCTTGCATGCATATTTTCCTACTAGGTTACCTGTTCACGTGAAATACCAGGACGTACTCAGGATTGTATTGGAGAAAGGCTTTCCAGACAGTGGTACTAAAATAAGTCTTTTTGCGTTGGAAGATTTACTTGCTGTCTTGAAATGTTTTTTGCCAAATCTTTCCAAGACGGGCCAGCCTCTGCCAAATAAGACATTGTAGTGAATTGTACAGGAATAAAGTATATGTTTGTCGTTGTACAAGTCTTTCACTTTAAATCTAATTGCCATTTAATCTCATCATAGAGTAATCTAGCCAATTAATGTAAATATTTAATCTTTCCTGGTTTATCATCTTTGGTTCAGAATAACTTCATGTACCTTTTTAAAGAAAGAAACGGGCAGGTGATGAGATTGTATTATGGGGAGAGGTGGTTCAGTGACATTTGAGATCACAAACTTTTTTTTCGGGTTCTATTGACTCAAACCCAGCACATTCAGTTGTAGTCTTGACAGGCTTGAACCCTACAAAGCCTGCGAATTTTTACAAGTTTAATAATTTATGCCTTGAGTAGTAAAGAGATAATTAGTATTTCTAAAATGCAGTCTATACTTTGCACCAGAGTATGCAAACTTTTTTTCATGGTTAAGATTATATTTTGATCTTTTATGTTATATCTTTATGTTATATCATTTTATACTACCACTTTTTGATTTTCATGGAGGGCATGACGTGTTTCGATTGTGATCCTCTGGCTTCCAATAGTCCTTCAGAATGGTTATTGGATCTTTATTCCAAGGGCTTTTGGAGGAGGGTATTTTTCTGTTTTCTTGAAGTGGAAACACAACTTTATTTAATGGGGAAAATAGTACAGTTAAAATCATGCTTACAGAACAGCAAATTAGCTGTACTCAACCTGCATTCAGAGGAGTTGTTTGGGGGTTTTCTTGGGTGGACCAGTGCCACAATCAAAGATGTGACCGTGGTTTGTGTAGACATGTAAGCAACTACAGTTTGGCAAGGTGAGGTACTACTAGCGTTGCTGTTGTGTTTGTGTAAAGCTCCGTGATGTAAGAAGGCTTGCCCAAGAAATGGAATAAATCCTCTGTATCTGAGGAATTTTAAGGTGGGGACAGTTGTGACTGTATGAACCTGGTCTTCAGTGCAGGTAAGCATTTTCGCTGGAGGGGGGGAAGATGTAGTTATACAAAAGTGAAGAGGGGGGGGAGGGGAGCGGAATAAGGTCATTCATTGAGTTAGCAAGACCTAGAGGTCCTTTTTGGCACAGATTCTGGCCAGGCTCTTGCGCTTTTATTTTGTTCCTCCAAATGCTATGAGGAGGTGACAGGTACTGTGCGCGAATTGAAAGAACTCATAGGGAAATAACAAAGCAGAGATATGGTTGCTTGTGCTGGTTTTACTGCTTCTCTTTTTCTGTGGCTGTACTGACTTGGTGAAAGATTTTTATCTGATAGTAGTATTGTTTGTGGAGCTGCTGCTCCTTACAAAGAAACTGTATTTGATCTTTCAGCAGTGTACTTCAGGCTCAGTTTTTGTATTTGCTTATTTTTTGGTTCAGCATTCGGTAGCAGAATGATTTTGAAAGATTTGAAGTAGGCATTTAAGTGGAAGCTTAATTATTTGACAATATAATTTGCTGGGAATCTGAATGTTCTGCTTTGTCAGTTCAAATACATAAAATATACTGATAAAAAATAGGTTCTGTCTACAGTCATCTTCCGCAAAAGCAGTTCTTAGGTGAAATGAAGAGAAAGATGTCCTTTCCAGGTCTCAATACTTGCCGTAACTGTTTTGGGACTCTTTCTTCTGTGCTCCTTTTATCTGCTGCTTGGTGGCCTCTCCTAGGGTCAAGCATAGCATAGTGCACATGCTGTTTGACATTCGCCTCTGTGTATTGTTTACACCACACTTTAGCTGAAACATAGCAGTGGTGTGAGCAAACATGTTTCCCAATGTGCATTTGGAGTTGCTTATTTTTCAGTACGGTTCTGTAAGTGATGTTAGATTGAGGATATATGATGTATGTCTATTGTGGAGGATGGAGATGAATCCCAGTTTACATATCCTGTGATGAACAGGTTAATTTAAAGGCAATCAATTGACATATTCAGTGCTAATCCATGTCTAGTTCTAGTGGTTTGAGCAGAGTTACTTTTAACTAACTGGTCTTTAAAACAGCCTTGACTTACATATATGGACACCACACTTATGCATTGGCTATATATAATGACATGAATGGCACTGATGCTGTAAGTCTGAGGGAGTGGTTGGGAAACAGGTAAACAAGTCTCATTATTTTTGTACTGTTGGCAAAGGTCAGTCTGCAAACTGAGTTTATACTAAGTCAAATGTATCATGTGGTTCCAAAGCTTTGAAAGTCTAGCTACTGTATATTGTTCTAACTCAAAGCGTCTTGGCTAAAAGAATCTCTAATCAAGAATAAGAATCAAAATCCTGCTTTGCTGACGCAGCTTGAAGTCTTTTCTTTTTTTTAGATGTTTCTGCCATTTGGCCATCAATCTAAAGTAAAATGTTTTTGTTTTGCCGCTTTGGACTAAGCAGCACGATCAGTTTGTGGTGCTCGCAAAGGAAACCCAGCTTGGAGTAATTCCTGTTTGGTCTTTCTGGGATTCAAAGTTATTTTTTAAAACTCTTGAGTGGGAAGAAATGCAAGGCAGTTTCACAAGCTGTGCCATGCAAGGCTGCTAAGGAAACCTGCTCAAAAGAATGACTTCATGAGAGGAGAACTAATATTTTGACTTTTTTTTTTTAATTTCCCATGGGAAGGCTAATCTTTAGGAACACAGAATCCTCTGAGGCCAATAAAATTCAGATTTGAAGAAGCAAAATGCTGTTTCATTGTTAGGACCATAAAATACAGTTTGTTTTTATTGCAATTCTTTTTCCTTTCAGGAAAGCACTAGGTCTAACAGCTGTAATATATTATTCTAGCACCCCTTGTTGTCGACTTTCCCGTTATTGTTTCACTTGCATTTTATCTTTCAGATCTCAGCCAGGTTAAATGTGCTTTCTTGTTTTATGCAGCTACTTAAAGGCATCGCAGTGCAGCGCTGCCCCACCTATCCCAGCTGTGCATCTTTTATTATCATTTGGTGACAGTTATCTCCCATTTCGCAAAACAGTAGCAACATGCATTGCTTTAAATGTAATTGTGCGAACGTATCTGTTAGTTGCTTATTGGCAGCACTTACTCCCAAATTTCTTTTTTCTTTTAAAAATATTGCTCTCTGTGTAGGTGGGGGCTCATAATGTTTTATTCCGTGTGTGCGCGTGTGTGAATGCGGGGGATGTTTATATACCTGGCAGGAGAACATTGTCATGGGAATAGCTGTGGTTCATACACGGTCATTCCTCTTCTAATGGTGTGAGGGATTGTTTTATTTTAAGCAGCTGTTTAATAATCAAGCTCTGGTTGGACAAGTTTCATTAATACCGTAGCGATTGGTTGCCATCATAACAGAGGATGGCGGAACCCAACAATACTATGGGAAGGCTCATTAAGACCTCTTGTCCATTTAAGGTCTCATTGTATTTGTATTGTCAGGTTAATGTCCAGTTATATATGTAGTAATGACAGCACAAGTTCTTACATAGGCTTTTCCGAATGGTTTTACGATTACCGCCATGTGTGTCCTGTCCACGTTCCCCTCCCGCCCCTGATTTTGCCCAAACTTTGTCTACTATAGGAGCTCATGACTGCAGCAGTGCTGGTTGTGGGGTTCCAGTTGCAACTCGTTAGGGAATGCTCGTCTAGGAAGTTGGCACAATTAACCTTTTTCTGCTGTGAGACATCCAGGATCCCTTTGAGGAGAGTTATTGTGGGATCTCAGCATTCTTCATGCTTTCCTTATACCACCACACTTTCCTTAGTGAAAGAAAATCTTGTCAGTGCATTTGATGGGATTTCTGACTTAAACATTTTAAATAGTATGGGAGTAGAAGCGTTCTGCTCAGTTTTGAAGAAAGAACTGACTTGTCCCACCTTTTGAAACTGCCAAATGCCTGGGGTTGTGCTCGCTGCTTACCCTTGCAGTGATTTAATTAGGAAAAGAATGTATACAGGAATACAGATAGTGTCGTTTTTGTGCTAATCTCAGACATTAGTAACAAAAACCAAAATGGTTTATGGGTGTTTTTTCTCTTAACGGATTTTAAATAACTTTCTCCAGTTTAAGTGGGTAATAAGCTTTTGTCTTTTTCGTTCAAGAGGTGATAGGCACTATCTCTTAAATTTTTATACATATCAAATGCATGAAAACATACTTTGCCATGCGCTGCATGGTTTTGATGCTGTAACTAATGAATCCTACAAATTCATTGATTTTACTTTTTTTTAATATTAACTTCTTGGTTTTGTCTCCTTCTGAATTATGCTCCATGTTAATCTGGTTGAGTTTTTTTAATTATTTACTTGCTATGTTTTCTAAAAATGCATTTGTCTTTTGTGCCTCTTTTTAAATCTTTAAGCTTGTCTTATTTAGCACTTTGGACATTGAACCAAGTGCATGTTTGTTAGTCTTCAAAAAGTGCTGTGCAACAGTGCATTGTATTACAAATATTTTAGTAGTTTTGCAGCTAAAATTCATAGCAAATAGTGTTCTAATTCTGATGTTTATTCCCCAAGTACAGCTACAGATTGTTGTCTGAAGTCCTTGATTGCATCCTGATATGTTTATTTTAAGTCTTTATTTCTGTAAAATCTTTATATTTAAATCTTTATATTACTGCACAAATATACGCTGGTTAAGGTCATATGCAAAAACCGTACATTAGGAATGTCACAAAACGTTAGTCAGTGAGTCTGTTCCTCTTTGAGTGGACAGACAGGTGAGCTGCTGTTTGTGTTTAGCCATTTCTGATTTTGCAGATTGTGTCAGAGATCACAAACAGTATAATTGAGAGGTAATCTCAGCAAATGTTTTGGCTTTTTAAAATGCCTGTTAGTAAGCTCTTTAAAAGAGAACCTATGTAGTTAGCAAATCTCAGCAATGTTTTTAAGATACTTTTTTTGCAATAGTAAAATAAAATATTTAAAATCCAACCACAGTCTAGTGTAGATTTCCTTTCTTCATTTTGAGTTTTCTACATGTGACAGACTAGTAAATCAATTGTACATGTTTTTAACTTAATACCTCTTCAATGAAATAAGAATTTATTATTCCTTTTTTGTAAACTTCAGGTTCTGGATGAGATTTCTGAACATGGGATTAGGATTTATCAGCTCCCTGATGCAGATTCTGATGAAGATGAGGAGTTTAAAGAACAAACCAGAGTTTTAAAGGCAAGTTTTGCACCTAACTTATTATTTTGCTGTAGTAGTTCTTCAAGCCTGCAGTATGCTTAAAAGTACTTTATTCCTTTATAATGTTTTGAAAATTCAAGTTTTCTTTGGATGTTGACTCTGAATTATAGTCCTTTTTATTCCAGTCTCTGCTTCAGCGGAATTCCAGATGTAGTGTGTCATGACTTCCTTTCCTTTTCTCTTTTAAATGTAAGCAGCTCTTCACCAAGAACTGTGATTTGCAGTCTGTTTTCTGACTCAAACCTTTTAACATGCAAGCAAAAAGAGAGAATGTGCGCATGTTATGATTACTATACTAATTAACAAATTTCCTCTTGTTAGAGAAGGTAATAAAGGTTTTGCTGAAGTCACTTCCTGTTTGTGCTGTGATACTTGCAAAGGTGCTTGAAGAACGTGTCTGAAATTCTCTCTAGCTACTTTAGTCTGTATCTGAAGTATGTTTCTGTTGGCTGTTTTCCATGCATGATGTTATGTCAGATGACACATCATGCCCAAACTGTACTTCAACAACAGTCAAGTGTTCCTAAAGCAAAGCGTCATTTCCTTTTGTGCCTCTGTTAAGGCAAACTGATCCTAACAAACCCACAGGTGTTAATAATGAGAGGTTGCATCGCCTGGAATAGGATTTGTTGGTTTTCTGATATGGAAGGATTTTAGTAGAGTGCATTTGTCAACATTTCTTTTCTCCCTCTTGTGTGTTACTTTAAAGTCTTTGTGCTTTCCTTAAAAGAAAAACAAACAAACAAAAAAGCAACCAATCAACAGTCACTTGTTTTGCTGTCTCTCAACTAGGCTAGCATTCCCTTCGCTGTTATTGGATCCAATCAACTTATTGAGGTGAAAGGGAAAAAAATCAGAGGCCGTCTGTATCCCTGGGGAGTTGTTGAAGTTGAAAATCCAGAGCACAATGATTTCCTTAAGTTGCGCACAATGCTTGTGTGAGTAATGGTAAAGTTATCCCATCTCCTGTGGTGACGTAACTGTTACAATGACTAGAGAGTTACAAGAACTGAACTCCTTAATTCAAATCTAACTCTAATGGCAACGTAGAGTGACTTTTGAGCCCCCTGCAGCTTATTTTGCTGCTGTAATCCTCTGATCTCTGACATGAGAAAATATTTTCTATATTTTACATTGTCAGGTACACGTGACAGTTTTTATGCCTTATGTGAACTGATTTGATGGCTGTATATGTAAATTGAAGTTTTCTTATAGTGCAGTGGGTGGGGCAGAGAAGCTTTTAAAATATTACTCAAAGTGATTGATTAAACCGTCAAGAATATTCTGAAGGCAAAGCTCCGTTTTCTTGGCAGTGTAAGAAAACCTGTTTTGAATATGATACCCTCCCCTTTTATGATTTTATCTGATATGGTTATTCTGCCTGTGTAGATGGTTTTAAGTGATTTTTTTTTTTTTTTAAATGAAATCTCGGTATTGTTGGAAATTGAATTCCTTTGTGGAGTTCCGATTTCAGTCTCTACTGAGCGGGGATTGCCCTCTGCTGGTCATTGGTAGCACGCGGTTTTTTTCCTCTTTTTTGACAACTGAAAATTGTTAGGCAATGTCATCTGTAATGCAATCCAGTGAGCTCCACCTAGTTCTCAGTTACAAATTATACTTAATAGCACTTAAGAGTCAAAAAATACTTTAGGAATTATCTTTCTGAATAACAGTCTTCACAAGGTTCTTACACTGCAAAGACTTATATAAACAACTCCTATAAAGTAATTAGTAAATAAGAAGAAAAGTAGCATAGTTTGTGTCTTTGAAGAATATTAGTGGGAGGGCTCTTAAGTATGAATTAAAGACCAATAAACATGAAAGCTGTGTTCTGGCTAGCTTTATGGCAGACTTGGTCTGTAAGGATTATTTTTCCAGTAAATACATCCATTATATAAAACAAAAATAGAAGATAAAAGGGTGTTTTTCTTTCCTTTGACAAGAAGGACAAAGTGTTCAATAGCCCTTTGCATGTTCTAGAACGCACATGCAGGACCTGCAGGAGGTGACCCAAGATTTGCACTACGAGAACTTCCGTTCGGAGAGGCTAAAACGAACTGGCAAGTAAGTATGTGTATGCCTTTGGGCTCTGCTGCTTGTGAGTCTCTTCTTTGTCCACTGTGACGTTGGACTTGCTCTTCCTCCTAACTAATCCCTCCTGTAACTAATTATTTATCATGAGGTTTCAATCTATGGAGTTACTGAAATTTCTATGAAATGCTCTTCTTGAAGAGGAATAATATCTAGCAAAGTGCCATGCTTACAAGCAGCTGTTCTTGTTTCCATATCCATTCCCCTTTCTCTGTGCTTTCAATTGGAATGCGCATAAAGAAGCAGTGGGCTGCAAGCAAGATAAGTTTTTATTTAATGATGTCTGCTTAGAAAAAGTAAACTCTAGTGGGCGTGTTTAAATAGGCCCCATCCTATCTGATTAGATAGGATGTTGCTCTTCCAGTTATTGCAAAGCTGCATGGATGGCTGTTCTCTTGCTCTTAAGTTAGAGAAGTTTACGCCAAACAATCTTTTCTTGGCAACGTGTGTAGGTTTTGTGGATTTTTTTCTTTTTTTTTTTTCTTGGTAAGGTTTTTTTCCTTGGCAGACTTAATGCAAAAAGTCCACATCTACCTGTGCTGCATCATTTTGATCGCAACTTAACTCTTGTTCCCACTTGACTTGTTCTTTAAGTATTCAGCTGAGCATTTTGATCTTAAAGGAGAAAGGAAATAGCCTAGACAGCTTTCTAATGGTTGTTTTTTGTACCATGTATGGACAGTGGAGGGAATCTCTTGATTAGAGTAAATGACAAAAAAATACCCATAGCGGTGAATAAATAGAATTTGAAGAAACATGGGTTGAATAACAGTGGTCTATGAGGTAAAGATGGCCTTTTACAAATGAGGAACGTGGATTTAAAAATGTCCTAATTTCTCTGTGCGGCTTTTTGTTGTTATATCAGCTGAAATATGAACCTTGAATCTGTTCTTGGAAACTTTTGCTTCTGTATGTTATACTATCAATGCGTTCTTTCGTTCAATAGGCCTGTTGAAGAAGAGGTGGTAGACAAGGATAGAATCCTCCAGCAGAAAGAGGCTGAGGTAAGAGGGAGTTTCTAAAGCTGTTCTTTAATAAAACATGCTGTGCTCCAGTTTCAGTGTTCTACATCGACTACAGCCTACAGAGTGTAAGATTGGAGTTGTGAAAAATAGCAGACCTAGTCTGAACATACAAGTTGCCCATACAAAGTGTTTTGTTTATAATCACTTGCATACTGTGGATGGTAGGTAGCATGTGGACTCTTGGTTGTAGGCAGGGTATTTATCACTTCCAGTTTGTATGCTAATTTTCCATAAAAATCGTTGCTGGTGTTAAAGTACTGAAATCAATTTATATTTGTCAGCTGCATGTGCCGCTTTAAGCATGGCATGTTGGGGTACAGTGCCAGTCTAATGTCATTTAAGATGTGCATGGCTTACTACAAGCATGTTACCAGTAAATTTCTTGTCTTGTGGCTATGGAGTAGAAAAAGGTGGTTGAGTTTTAAAAATCCCATGATATAATTAATGTGCATGTTTTTTTATCTTAATCTTGACTTGCAGCAAAATTCATAGTACTCTTGTTCTACCAGTCAACTTAGAATTTGATGTTTTCAATCTCTGATTTCTTACTCTGGTTTCAAGTTATTACTAGGTCTTTCAACTTAACATTTTTATGCTAAAGTTTTAAAGATTCAGAGATTTGTTTCCTAGTATTTAAATTCTAGTAGTACACTGCCAATGCTTATGACTGCTGGCATTGTGAAAACTTAAAGACTTGCTGCCAATTGGAAGATAGTGTTTTTTCTGTTTATCCTTCTTTTACCCAATTTAGCTTGTATCCAAGTCCATAAATGGAGGAAGGCATAATTTAAAAGATGAATGCATATATGCAGTGATTTGGAGTAAGAAATAAAAAACTACAAGCAGTTCTGTTGTTTCTGAGGTGAAAGATTCAAACTCCCATACATGGAAATTTTTGAAATATAGTTACTTCAATCTGTGCTTTTTCTTTTTCCTTTGTAACATCCATATTTAAAAATAGCTAACCCTGGTTAACTATTAGCTAAACCTGGCATGTTGACATAAATAGCAAAAAACTTTCCTAAAAGGAAATTCAGAAGCAGCCGACTATCACCATAACTAGTAGTTAATAATATGAATTACTGAAGATTAAATTAGCTGCATCTTTATCACTGTATAACTTCATTTCAGCAACATAAGTGCACTTGACGACCCTGCACTTAGGAGAGTAGAACTTCTGCAAGTATTCTGTATACAAATTACCTGCCTCCCATTTACTGATGTGTGTGCGAAATAACCGTAGACCATCAGCTGATACCCTGAGTACTAGATGCTTTGAAAATGTCAAGAGCATTGTTTGGGAATGTTTTGTGGTTTTTTGTTCTTTTTCTTTTCTTTTGCCTTAATGTTTCCAAGATTCAGGCAGTAAACTTAGAGTTTGTCATAAGTGTTTCTCCTGTCATGTGAATCACATGAATTGTACATGCTTAGTAGTTAAGTAGAGAGTTCAGTATCCTTGTAAACTATCTGAAAAAATTCTCCTAGAACTGTTTCCCCTGGAAACTGTTGATATGGCAGGCATATTATTATATACTGGTCTATTCTGACCGCTCTGTGTGAATGTATATATAGTATTTATATATATGTATGTAATGTATTTTTTTAATATAGTATGACTAAAGGGATGAAGTCTTACATTTCTTGGAGGACAATCTCTGAAAGTTTCCTCTGGGACTAATCATCTCTGAATAACTGCTGCTGAAGTTGCAGACGATTAGGTTAGAACTTGAAAAAACAAATACATTTTTAACTTCTGTGTTCTATTATCCCAAAGAGATCAAGAGGCTTTGCTGAATCTTCTGTAGATAAGCTGGTATGAAATCTCTTCATCTCCATATCATCCCTAAGGTTCAGACTGGGAAAAGTCTGGGGAGGAAAGAGGCACAGAGGAAATGGGCTTGCATTCCATGGCCTTTGCAGAGAAAACAAATATCCATTTCCCCTCCTGTTTTGCATTCCCATCAGTAACGGTGCTTGAAATTCTATTTACAGTTTTGTGAGGTTTATATAACCTTGGAAGGAATGAATGCTTGGGCTACTGCCAGGATCATCTTTATCAAGGCATCACTTTTGCTAAATGATCTTTTATTGTGCCAAAGGATGTGGTCCCCAGTTCAGCAGTTTGGAATTGCTAATCTGTCATTTTGGATTTATTGCTCAGTCTGGTTGTACATATTGCTCGTTTTCAAGTGATGACCTGTTTTTTCTGAGCTGGGAAGTGAAAATAAGTATAAAGGTATCCATGTTCCTTACTGTAAATAAGCTGCGGTTCAGATTATTTTGATGTTGTAATGTAAATGGGCATAAACTTAGTTTGTAGTGTTGTGCCATATTCTTCCTACTCTGAAAATATCTTATAATCTCATAATAAAAACCTTTCAACGTGTTGAGAGGCAATACTTCCAGAAAAACGTTAAGGCCATGATTACCTGAAAACAGCAAGGAACAAGCTTCCTCTGACTTTTCCAATGAGCTACCCTGAGGCTTTGGGCAAATCCCTGTGCTCCGCTGTCTGCAGGAGGGTTGGACAGCAGTAGGCTGAATATAGTAGAATTAACTGCAATATTGAAATTGCTTTCTCTCTGTCATTCCACTTTCTGAATGTGTTTAACCCTTTGGCAGATGAGATGAAGAGCCTGCTTTAGTGTGGAGTCAGTGGGGGGACAGCCTGGGCTGGTGGGGCTGCCAGGCTGGGCTCCAGCAGCAGCTCGAGGTAGGTGAGGGGGTGATGAACGTGTGCGGGTAACTGCCTGGTATTGCAGGTATTGACTAAATATTTTCTTGAAAGATAAGGTGAAAAATTCTATGTGGAGAGACAGCATGACTGTCAAAGGCCTCTAGACCCGAGGGAAATAAAAACGGCTCTGAAGTTTAATTTGTTTGTAGGACAGTGCAGGGGGACAGAATGCTTCAGCCTTCCTCCGTGAAGTGACGCAGCCTTAGTCCTGGGAGAACATCGTGATAAGAAAATCCTTAGTAAGCAATTAGCAGTGGGAATCCCTTGGGCGCTGGAATGAAGAACAACTTTTTTCTTTTTTCTTTTTTTTTAGTAATACCTTTTTTTTTTTTTGGTCCTTTTGAGTTGTTCTTTGAAGGAACAATGCTTGCTGCCATGTAGTGTGATGGATGTGGCCATAGTGACTTCTGCTATTTATAATGTCAGCGTGTCCTGTGAAAGACACACATCTCGATGATAGACCCACTTCCAGCGTCATAACTTTGTCAGTAGTATTTTTCTTGTCTTCAGTTAACAAGGTTAGTTGTACCCTTTATCGGAAGTATTTTTAACCAACAGCAACTATCATAGGAACATCCAGATTTACTAGAAAATCCACCATTTACAGTTTTCCATCTTGCCCTATTCTTGCAGCCTCTTCTCTTAGGAACTTTCTTATGTAAAGGCATGAGCAGAAATAATCACGCTTGGTGTTGGGAGGAGAAGTGTGTTGGTGGGGTAGATACTGTTAACACTTCTTTTCCTGTGATATCTGTAGGGTTGTCACCAAAAAGCCACTCACCTTGTTCAGACAGGAGTAGTATTTGTTGGTATTCTGGGCAAAACATATTACAGATGAAATCTTGTAGGTAAAGCAAAGCTGTGTAGCTGTGGTTTCTGCTAGTGGCCCGGAAGCTCTGAAGATGCCGTATGGTTCACTTTTAACTCTGTAAACTAACTCTGATTTTAAACGTTTGTTTCCTTTTTATGTTGCTACACTAGTTATGTGTAGTCACTGCCCAGTAGTTACATGAAAGTTTGAAGTAAATTTTATTCCTGACATAATAAGTAAACTAAGTGGAGTTTATACCAAGGTTAAGTTTACTATTTTGATTTTTTTTTTTTTCTGGGAACTCACAGGAATTGTAAGTTTTATCAGATTCCCAAACATTGCTTCCTAACTTCCTTTTCATCATGTGCATTGACCCTGTGCTATCAGGTTGTAGTATCCTTTCTTTCGGGGACGATTGCAAATTCCCTGCAGAATATATTAATGCTGCTCTTACAAGTGATGGGGTTTACTGCTGAGCAAGATCAAAGTCATGGTGTGCCCTTGTTGCTTGCAATCCCCAGCAGCGAAGGGAGCACAGATGTTGATATGACATCAATTTCAGTCCTTTGTGTGATCTTTTACACTCACCTTTATGAAGAGGAAAGATTGTTTCCATCTATGCAGTAGGTCTAGAAAGGTGAAGACACACAAATTGTTTTTAGCTTGTATTGTGACGTGTAGGAATGGTTCTTATGGCCTGTCTTCTACTTGAAGAGGAATTGTGGAAGAGACTGCTGTGGTTACCACTTTGCTTACAATGCAGTTCGATTCTTCTTTTTTTTTTCATTTTAATTTTACACTTGAGCTGACAGGATTCCTACTGTGCAGATTATTTTCTCTCAAAGATATTTGTGTGCGTTCTTCCTAAGTTCAGTTATTACCTCTAACTTTAGGCCTGTAGTTATGCAGCCAGGTTTTGTGTGTGGTGTCTATCTTTACACAGAGGTTGTCTGCTAAGAATAGTCTTACGAAACTGATAGTTCTGAGTTTGCTTAGAGCTCTTGAGAAGCCACAGTTTTACAGCAGAAAGCAACCATTCTGGATTGTTTGCGTATCAAATACTCGACAAAACCCAAAACAGAATGCTGATGCAGAGAAAAAGATAGGTGTGCTTGAATACCTTTATATTTTTATTTTCTTTACTTTTTTTTTCTTTGGCCAGTTTTCCTTATAAAAAGGAAACATCAATGATGACTGACTTACTAATGGCCATAGGAGACAGCAATATGCCTGTTTTTTTTTTAACAGGCTTTGTGCCTGAAAGTGTTTCTACTGAATTATGCTAAAATAGCTTCAGAAACTTGCCATTATTTACCTAATGGATGAGACTAATACTTTGCCTGTAGATCTCCAAAACACCACATGAAAATGGACAAGGAAAATCTTCGTGCAGTCCATGTTCGAGCAGAGTAGGTCTCCTAGTGCTTTCATCCTACCTTACATTTGAGTCATATGCAGCATCTGAATTCTTTCATGGTGTCAACATATTCTTATCAATTAAAGTTAAGAAAATGTGAGACTCAGTGCTGTATTTAAGTCTTCAAATATGATGTTGGCTGTTGGCAGAATGCTGCATTTGAGCAGTCACCATAGTACATGTGCAGCAGTATCTTCCCCTGTGATTACTGAATGGTTTCTATTTTGGGAATGTTTCATGGTTCAGCTTGGAGTGCTCTTGGGAAAGCTCAAGTAGGCAAGCTTCCAATAAGCTGGTTTTATGCTGATGGTAAATCTGCAGAGAGGCAGTTCAAAAGACCAGGTGTCTTACATTTTTAGAAGTTGATCTTTGAACCTTTTTTCTTGGACCGTGGAATCAATGCAACTCTAATTTCTGAGACTTTCTCCTTTTTTTTTTTCTCCTTCCTGCAGCATTATGCTATCTTTTTCATCAGAAGCTTTTTGTTTTAAGTGCTTAGCAGAAGGATATAGATGGGTATATAATAATCATGACAGAGTTAGCTGTATCTCATGCTGTTCCTGTGTGAACTTCCTTTTGTCAGAGTGTATCTGTGCTGCAACCACAGGAACCTGAATGACCTCTACTGAACCCTGTGCCACTGCAGCAAGAGGATAAGTACTAGTATACAAGTCAGCTAGTTTTAGGCAAGCTCTGTTACCTCTGGCTATGCTGCAATCTCTGCACTTCAGTTTCTCACTCTTCCCCAAATCTGCATCTGAGGCCAGGCAAAAAAAAACTGATACGGGCATCTACCTTTATTTTTCCCTCTTCTGTGATGTTTCTTTCCGGTTTTAGGAGTTTTTTGGTTGGTTGGGTTTTTGTTGTTGGTTGGTTGTTTAAAAAAAAAAAAGCTAACAGCTCGACACCACATACATGTAGTCAAGCGTTTATCACAGATTCTTTTTGTATTGAATCTGGTGGAGTAACTAATGTCACAATAGCTGATATGGTTGGCTGGGTGAAAATGCAGTATAATTGTTTAAACATAGCAGTGCTTTTTGAGTTGAAGAGTTTCTGCCCGCCCCTCCCTCCCCCTGAAAATAAATGAAAGCAATTTTCTAACTACTTTTTTCTAACAAAGAAAAAAGCTGGATATATTAAAAATGACACAATTATTTTTAGAATAATGAAAACTTCCTATACAAGCCTCAGATGATTACATTATCTCCAGTTTGAGATAGACTGGTATTTTATACAATGTGCATGGAAATTGCAGCCTATTTCTTTTCCAGTTTGTAAGATAGGGCACTTTCAATTGTTTATGTGGAGCCTTCCCAACCTGCATCTGGAAGGAAATACCTAGTCATTTGTAAACCAAATTAGAGGTATCTGCGTATACATTTTGAATATCCGTATTAGTGTTTCCTATTTTTTTCTTCGGAATGCTTATTTAAATTAATGTTATTTTGGGGGAAAAATGCATTATATATAACTGGCCTTTTATGAGATGGAAATTAACTTATAAGTGTCATAAAAGAATGCCTTTAAGAAAACAGTTATTTCCAGTAAAAGTCATTGTTTAGATGTAAAAATATTGGTGCTTAATATGTTTAGTCTCTCTTTCCAAATTTTGTAAACATCTTTCTGTTTTGCTTTTGAAGTAGTTTTTAAATTCTGTGTGCACTTTCAGCTGTTGCTCTTGCTAAAAATTTGCAGAGTTCTCTGGTTAGCCACAAGATGGATATTCGTACATGATATTATGCTTTGAGCACCTGTATCTCAGCAAAGCTGCTTTAGCTCACTCCAGCAGTGTATCTCTATACACACATAAAGGGCATGTTTTTTTTACTGTAGATTAAATGTTAATAACAGAGGTCTGCAAATGTAGCTAGCTTCAAAGGTTTTGGATTTTATTGCTTAATTTTCATTGTAAGTATTCTTACAAATCTTTTGTGAAAGTTAGATGTAACACATTAAAGAATCTGAGATGAGAAAAACAAGGTATTCGATCATGTGAATTAATTGAACATTTCCATCTTGTAAAGAGGCAAGTTGGATCTGCATTCTACTGTGGAAGAAAAAAAGATTTAAAGTTTCCTGGATTTTTGGATTCCTTGTGAAATTGTTTTAAACGTGTGGGTGTTTTTCTTTTACAGCTGCGCCGCATGCAGGAGATGATTGCACAGATGCAAGCCCAAATGAGGATGAAGCCTGGTGATGATTAGGATGCTTAACATCTAGATGCATCAGGTATTACTTTTCTGACTTGTTTACTCCTCTTACATAAAATTTTTCACAGGTAATATTGTTAGTTTTGCACTTTGGAGTTGCTTTTACAGTACATATAGAAAAAATTGAGTGATATTCTGGGAAGGCTAGGAAAAAAAAATCTATGCAGATGTTACCTTTCCAGCTGTTTTTAACACCTGTAATTGCTTATCTTCAGTGCCTTATTTTTGGATCATCTTTGTGCCTATTAGCAGAAGCTGCTCCAAAAATTAATTTGACTATATATAAACAATAGTTATGGTGTTTTGAGGTAAGTAGTCTGCTAAATTTATAGCAGTTTTTTCAAAGCACCAAACGAAATTTTAGGCAAACTGTTTATGTGTACTGAATACAGACTTCCTAGGTGTCGTATATGGTGTGATAGGTGGGATGAGAGTGAGTGAAGAAAAAAATTCTTGTAGCAAATATTTGCGCTTTCTTCAGAATGCGGCTTTGCTGGCATAATTTTTCTTTTAAATGCAAGTATAAAAAATAGAAGGATATGAGGAGTCTTGTTGCTTAATACTTCAGTTTAATACTCCAGTTGTGATTGCTGGTCTTCAGGAATGTAAAGCTTGAATAAAATGGATTATATTATCCCTTATGACCTTGTGGCAGCTGCCAACATTCCAAGCCTAAAATAAGGAGATTTTTTGTTGCCTTTATGTGAACCTTCAGTCTTCCTGTTTATATTAAAAAAAAAAAAAAAAAGGATTTTCTAAGGAATAAACTTATTCACTGGATTCCTAGTTAAGCAGAAGTTGATGGTTTTACTGGTTATGTGCAATGTGGTCTTTGAGTGAAGTAGTTAAGGGGAAAAAGTAATTCAAACTCCGGTTTCTTACTGTCACAATTCCAAGTCTTGCAGATAGAGGAGTCTTCACATCATGTCTTCCAACTTCCATACTGAGCTATATTTTCCCAGAGTTGGAAATCTAAACACTGAGGGTGATTTTGTGGCTGACCATGCAGTGTATGCAATAGCAGTGTCTGACATAAAGCGCTCACTTCCTCAGACAGGAGCTGGTAATTATGCAGCCTGGTAAATATGTTAGTGTGAACTTAAGGTCCCAAGTTTTCGTGGTGACTTTGTTACCATATGGCCAAACTCTGACCGCTTATGAAAATGACTGACTGATGCAGGAGACCTTATGTAGTGTAAAACTGTTTTTTGCAAAGGAGCTCAATTCTTTGTGTGACTTACGAATCACTTTTAATCACATGGCGTCCTTTAAACTGATACTCAGTAAGAAAAAAAACATCCTAGATCTAATAGGCTTGCCCATAGCTGGTGCTTGCAGAGCACAATATAGCAAATGATACGAATATCTTCAGAGCTCTTTCTTCAGTTCCTAGATACTGGATTTGCTGTGAAATCAGTATCTGAGGGCTAATAGCATGCAGTATTCCTGCTAATGGTTAGCCGGTAATGGCACCAGATTCCCTGTGTTTCCCAGCTCCTGGTAATACTAGATATGGTATTTATAAAAACAAATCGGGAGCGTGGTTTGTCCCAGGCTGAATGTGCAGCCGTGGATACATAAGTAAACAGAGTTCTGAGCATGCTCATGTGTTCCCCAGTGAAATGTTATTTTGTAGATACTTTACCTTGCTAATCTGGAATACATCTTGGACCACTACATGTGCTAAGGAGGAGAGCTTTGCCGATTCAGCTAAGTGTCCACGTGTGATTTAGTTTGGACTAAATCTTAAGAAAGTTAGTTGATCTGAAATATTGAATGTGAACAAATTTGAGAAGGATTTGAGTGAGATCCTCGTGTGTGGAGGTCCTGCTGTTTCTTTGGAATCCACTAAGCTGTGTTTCTGCAGCTGCTACGGAAATTGTACTGTTTAACAGATTGCTCTCGGGAAAGAATTTTGACCTTCTTTTTTGTTAGCCTTGAGATATTGATTGATAGACTTTTAGTGTAATTTGTTGGCTAATATGCACAGTCAGAACTGCAATTGCAGCCCTGCTAAACCAGAGTGTTGCTGTATGATCGTGTCAGCATGTTGAAGTGAATCCTCACCTAGAACTTGGCCTCAGGGAAGTTTCTCTCATGCATGTTAACTGACTTTGCAGTTTAGGAGGAGTGATGATTTCAACCTCCAGCATTCCCATCAGATTTACTTGCTGTATTTTATTGAACCACTATTTCCAGAGAAACCAGGAAACTTGTAATTAACTCGGTAGTTAACAGAAGCAAATTGCGAACAAATTTAAATATACTTGATGTCAATCTTTGTTCTGTTACAGCTTATCTTGAGCATCTCTCAGGTTCTAGTTTTACAAGAACTTTAAAGGATCAACTCTGCTACTGTCTCTCCTCCAATTGCTTTTTTGCACCCTTACTTATCTTTATGCTGAGAAAAATATGTAACTTTATAGATAATTTATGTAAAAATTAAATTTTTCACTCTTTATTTTAGATAAATATGTATGTATTAATTTTCTTCATAAGTCCCTTAAAAATACCTTCCCCTTCATAAAGCACAGATGTAAAGATATTTTCTGATATTTCTGGAAAAGAGCTGTATGGTGTAAATACCTTCATAGATAAGAGTTGGAGAGTGAACAGTAGGATAATGAAATGTGGTAATGTCCAAATATGTGAAATACTTCTGGTTTCAGATGTATTTCGGGGTGGGGAGAAAATTGCTGAATACTTTGAGGTTTTCTGGAAAGAGTGTGGCATTGCATAGTCATGAAGAAGTGCTGAACTCAAATCCTTGCCAAAAAGTCTGATGAGTCTGTATTATCATAAAGTGCTACACTGATGGGGTGACTGGAAGGTCTGGTTTGCCTGTTCCCTTTTGAATAGGGGCATCTTTAAAGCTTTTATGGAAAGAGCAAAGAGAAAATTTACTTCAAACAGTTTCCTTCTCTTTCAAGGCTAGGGTAAGAGAAGCATAAGGGGGGTGACAAAGATGAAGATTATACACAGGGAGTACGTTCAAAGTTTCCAAAGAAGATGGACAGATCTCTTGGAGTGGAGAAGTAGAAACCTGAAGGGGGATGAAGAGCAGCACCAGTGGAGACTGGGTTAGAAGTAGTAAAGGAAGATGATTTTGGAAACAGTAGTGACCAATGTGCCACCTGCAGTTTTTGACAAAGGCCCGTGAGTACAGACTTGCTCTACAAGCTGGTGGTGATTAAGAGCTTTTGACAGCAGCCCTAACAAAGGTGTGTTGGTCTACGCTTTTGTGTGATTCCTCTCAACATTTCATAGCTTCTGTGTACACCACCTTCTGTGTGGAGGTGGTTGCAGCAGGCAGCGAGAGCACAGCTATGCACCAGAATACTCCTGGAATAAGCAGAAACAATTTTTTTTACCCTAACTTTTGATATACTAATCTTATGAGTCCATGTAAAGCATGGTAAAAACTTCAAGACAAGCTTGGATTGCTTCTTATATTTGACAATTCAAATGAAGGATTGGAGAGGAAGGAGTTGGAGGGTTGGAATAAGTTACCAAAAATTAAAACAGGTTTAGTTTTATTTGGATGCTCTAATACAAACTGCTTTTGAAATAAGCCTGCAGTAATTCCAACAGCACATTTACTAGTTTCTGAACTCGTCCATTTCAAATGAGCAAGTATTACAAAAAACTAGAATTGTTTTTTCAAATGAAATGGTTATTGATGGACATTTCTTCCCTTTCCTTCTCTGTTTCTGGAAGTGTAGCTCTTTGCAATCTGTTTTCCTCTCGTTACTCTTACAAATCTGGGTTGTGTGTCTTCCACTCAGCTTCAAGATCACGCTGGGACAAACCGGCAACAGAAGCCAGACTATGGAAAACAAATATAGTCAGATGGAAATGTAGTTATGGTTAGGGAAATGTGTTCAGAAAAAAACCCCAAGCATCTTGCACTTAAAATATCTGTAGGATATTGAAAATTCTTTTAATATAGCTCATGATTTCCACAAGTATTTTAAAGCCTCCTGAGCTCCCTAACACTGTTACGATTCTTGATAAGAACAGCACGAAAGGCACCAAACAACTAGTTCTTTCTACCAATGAATTGACATCATTTAACAGAACAACACAAAGCATTGTCATAGCAACCAGCCTTCTAAAACGATGCTGCTGAATGCTGAATTGATCTGATGAGAAATGTTATTTGAGGAAGTAAAGATCATGTTGTAGTCTTTGGCAGCTGAAATTGAGAGCCTAGAGAATGGGAAGCTTGGGCAAATTTGTAGTATTTGGAACAGCTGCCTGGCACTGCCAGTGGATATTTCTGGGGCTAGAAACTAGACCAGAAGAGTACCGTCGTTCTACAGCTCTCTTCAGCTCTTCTAACTATGGAGCTGTTCAGCAAACCCTGCATTGAGGGGCTAGCACGAGTTTTCATTTCCCTTAGGGAGCAGACTTGTGACTGAACTTGTTGTTTTTTCTCTAGTACTGTACAGCTGAAGTGCTGAACTTGTGTGGCTCCACAGGACCTAGAAGTTAGCTTGTATAGAAAGGTCTTAGCAGGGTCCTTGAGAACCACCTTGTAGCTGCTGCCCACCTGCCCTCGTGTATAATGTGCAGAGAGCTACACAGACTTCAGATGAGAGTCAGTTTATGGCTTTTATTCCTTGATGTAAAGAACAGCAACGCTTTCATTTGCATTTCTTCATCTAAAAATATTATCAGCAAAATGGTCCCCATCTCCCAAAAACCAAAACACTCTACTTTGCAGACTTAAAAGCTTTCCAAGGAATGACACAATGTTTGCAAAACATACAATGAAAAAGATTGACAAACCTAATAGCAAGTTTTTCTGATATTTTCACAAAATTGCCCAAACTGTATCTCAATAAATTTTGTCATTAAATGGATTAATGTAAATTGGTTAAATTTAGCCAAGTGATCCCAGAGAATATAAAATAGAACATAAAATTCCTAATGGGTCACTGCAGAAATCCTGTTTTGTGGGGAAATATCAGGGGTGAGTGGAAATATATTTATTAGCTTTTCAGTGATGTGTTGATGCCACAGGAAAGATGAAGTCTCAGTGGCTACAGTGGTATTGTCAATTCTTGTGAATACGTGTGGGGCACCTTGCGCTCTGCCTCTGAGAGGCTCAATGATCTAGGAGTGACACAATTGGCATATTCTACCTCCTCCTGTGTCTCCATGACACACCGCTGTGTCCAGTACAGCCTCTGGATGCAGAGGGTGAGGAGAGGTGCATGCTGCCAGAATTTCTCGGGCATTAACGGGCCTGAGGAGGGGAGTGCATAGGACTGTGAGGTCCGTGCCAAAGCCTGACATGGTGTCGCGAGGGACTTGTAAATGCTTCAGGCTACCTTTTGTAAATAAGTATTTTCAGAGGAACATTTCTTATAGTTCCGGAGTTTGGAGCCTGGTATGTATATGTGACTTGGTGGATATTAACTCTATGAGCATATTAAATTAACTGATAAACATTGGAAAGCAATTCAAAGGGCAGTTTTGTAACTTGGCAAATGTCATCAGCCAAGTATGTACTATGGGGAAGTGTAAGGTGTTGCTACAGACTGGCGAAACGAAAGGGAACAAACTTGAAGCCGCGAAGTCAACAGAAGACAACTGAAATATCAGAAACCCAAAATATTAGGGGTATGAGTGACAACATGAGTCATAACTAGCTAACAACAGGACATTAGTGTTGTCCAATACTCTTACTCTTTTTGGAAAGATGCTATTTCTCAAAGTTCTCGGTAATGATTGGACACTAAAAGGGCTGCAACTACAACATAAAATGGGTGCTATTTGAAGGAAGAGAATTTAGGTCAGTGAGAAAATGTAACCGCTTATAAAGCAAACTTCTCTCATTAGGAATTCAAAAGTGTACATGGAGAGATGTCAAGTTGCCCTGCATTGTAGTGGTGTTCTTGGAAGCAACTGAGAGGGAGGCAAACCCGTTCCTTTCCCAGGCTTTCGAAACCTGTACAAATGCAGGAGTCTGAGATGTCTCGTCAGGGTGCAGGCGTATGTGGTGCTAGTTATGCTACTTACTGAGACAGTTCTGCTTTCCTGGCATACTGGAGAAGTGTATTGTCTGTCTTAAGGGATGGTATAAATTCACATTGCATTTATTAAAGCTATGTATTGGTGAAAGGAGTATGGGGGACTATAAGGCTAGTCTAATAAAACTGGAGATCAAATTATAAAGAATGGTGCCAACCTAACATATCAAAATAGTGTCTCATAAGGAGATTTAGAAGAAAGAGCAGTGAGAAGAATCTGCACTGAAATGCACAAATGCACTTTGCCCAAGTATGTTCCACAAGCATTTAAAATGTGGATATATGTTGCTAATGCTGGGAACATCAATGCACAGCTGTGCTTATAATACCAGCCTTCATGTTTATTGGAAATTCCAGTCTTTTTGTGAGTCTGGAACATAAGTTAAGGTTTCCTCTTGAGGTATCATCTGTAACAGATCAGAGCTAGGCAGGCAATGTCAGTAATTTGGCTTCTCTTTCGTACTCGAAGTTGCTGTGTAGCACAACAGGTTAATTGTGAATTTGAATATTGAATTTGGTTAGCAATGTATGGACTCAGGATTTACAGCCTTAATGCTGGCTTGCTTGCTCTGGTTGTTATGGGAAGCAATAGCCTCCTTAAAATGTTAAGCAGTTGTGTATTGAACAGAATTTCCAGTGTGAGCAAGAGCGGAGGACTTGGAAAAAAAAAAATCTGTTTGCTCTATTGTCTTACCTAAGCAGTGTCATAAGAGTGTGTGTGCATGACATCAAACTTGCTGCTTGCTTTGAGCCCTGTTTAGGTTAAGCGGTTTTCATTTTCCTCCCCAGAAGCAACGTTTCATGTGACAGGCTGACTGAGGTTGGTTTCTTGTGCGCATTACTGTTGAGATGAGCTGTAACGCAGTTCTTGTGTTCTTGCAGATGGAGGGGGGTGTGGGTGCTTAAAAAAGTATGTAACTAAAAATAGATTCTCATTTATGTGCTCCTGTTAGACATTTGTGATAAATATTTGGGACCAAACTGTGTCTGACTCTGCTGATGTAGTTCTAGTGCAGGTCTCTGATGCAGTAACTGGAATGCTCTGTCCCCTGGTTTGCACCGCATTGCTCGGAGGGGCTCAGACTGCCCCAAACACTCTGACAGTGTGGAAAGTTTGTCCTTTCTAATGCTCTTTGTTTTCCACTTTTGTTCGCAGCAGTATACAGTTCTCTAAGTGGATGGGTGCTCTGTTTTCTTTGACCGAAGGGTAACGTTCAAATGCAAAAGCTGGATGCCGCAGATCAAGACCTGCGTTAAAACAAACACAAAGTCTGAAGATCGTGTTGTAAAACAGCTTGCTTTATATATTCAATGTTAATCAATTTATATTGTATCTTTTTTGATTCTTTTGGTAACACTGTCTTCATACTTATAAATGTGCTTTTATTATCTTTCCTATACCTTTTTATACAGAAACTGATAGTGCACTGTTTGGCGTAGTCATTGTGATGGGTTTAAGGAGTTAATCGTGTATCTGCTAGGTTATTCTGAACAGTTTCGTGATTAATGCTAAAAGACTTTGTGGCCTGTTTACAGTAAACATGTGTGTTTGCACAGTATCATAACTTTCACTTGCCATTTTAAGTCATTGTGTATCCTATCAGTTTTTCATAACTTTCCCTGTGCTTTGGTTACTTTTGAAGCTTCGTCTCTGGTGATTTGTATTTGTGTGGTGTATGAGAAAATGTACGACACACTGATGATTCACCAGTGATGCAAAGAAGCTGACTTTTCTAAATCATCGTGCCTTAACGTACCATAAACACTATGCATGCCAACAGCTTCTCTGGATGCCTCTGAAGATTTGTCTTCAGGTCTCAACTATCGATTGCAAGAATTTTTATCACAGGCATTTTTATCTGTCAGCTGACTGATGGCATGTACTGAATTTTTTATATACCATAACACTAATTTTCATTCAAGTTTTGTAATAAATTGTACCAATTGGAAAATGTTGGATTTTGGGGTGGTTTTTGTTGTTGTTTGGATTTTGGCTTTTTTGAGCTGATCTATGAAATGTGATGGCGTCGTGCACAATGCATAATTGAAGGAATCATGATATTTACCCTGGGGAATGAAGGCGTTTTCTAGAATTCGTCTATGTACAAGCTGCTTTGGTTTCATTTCCAAACCACTTTAAAAGTGTTTTACCTGGAAGTTAGGTAGCAAGACTTTGCATCGACTTTTTTTTTTTTTTAACCAAAGTTCATTAGGCACCTACTGACATCTTTTAGGTGGGTAAATACCTTGGAAAATCTGATTGCACACCTTAGTTTATAAATTCATGAATGTTGCTGTTTCCTTTGTATCAGTACTGAATGTATAGCTCTCTTCGGCATGCTTTTGTAGTCTTGGGTGTAATATGTATTCACAAGCGTAAATTATTTTGCAAATATGGGATTGAGACACTTTGCCCTCTGTGCTAAATTGGGGTGTCTTTCATGTAATGGTTACCCCTAATTTTGCTGTCCAGCAATGAGTGTTTAATCAGGATAGGATTAACAAGCGATTTGCATCTCAGGGATGCATATTTGGCTTGAGTTTGGAGTTGAACTGCATAAAATGATCAATTACATTGTTATCTCAGTGGCTGCTATAATGAAGTTGAAAGAAGAAATGGAGAGACAGATGTGCATTCATGCAAATTCTCTTCGGGTTTCATGAAGATTTGAATTGTAAGCGTGTCTGTCAAGAGGGCCGAGGTGAGAGGTTTAACGGTAAACATTTTCTCATGAATTGTGTGCCATTATGTGCACCTTTCTTGTTGTTTTTCTTCCAGAACTCTGCATCATATTTTGCAACCTTCTTAAAATGATACGCTGTCCACTTGTGCTTGTGAAAGTCAGGACAGCCACACCCCTCCTGAGAAACCAAGACTTCAGTTGCACACTGGATTTATTCTCTGAACAAAGGTAACATGAAAGGTTCACCTTTCAAAGCAAACTAGGACAATGGGGAAGCAGGCTTTCAAAAGCATCTAGTCTTAATTTTATTAAAAGACTGGGCTTCCCTCCCACCCCTTTTCAAAGCAAGGTACCTAAAGGCAGTGTTACAATTTTTGGGTGCGGAGTCTCAGTGAACAGATTTCCACTAGCGGATACTGATAACTGATCAATAAACTCTGCCTCCTTCTGGCTTGTGAATTCCAGCTGGAGCATTTTGGCTCAAAACCCGAGATCTATTTGAATAATAGTTGAAAAAGGGTTTGCAATACTGCTGAAGCCTTTCAACATAGGCTTAATTTTTATGCCTACTACCGCTTCTTTGATGTTGGTTGATGTTAATTTTCAGTTACATTTGAACTTGGTTTTCTTAAAATACTTCACAGCTTAATGAGGGAACATACTCGTTAAGCCAAGTCTTTGCCACTGTGGAGATCTCTGGAGAGAGGACTCTGGCTAGAGCCTAATTTCTGACCTTGCGTTTCCACTCCAGCCTGTGTCGGCAGTGCCGGGGCCATGGAAGATGAGTCTCTTTCTGAGTTCTACCTTGACTGTCTCTGGGCTGATGCTTTCCAGTGCTGGCACAAAGTGCCCACATGTAACTATTTTAATGACTGTTCATCAGGATTGACATGCAGGTGACTGTAGTCGTTTTGGTCTTCATTAGATTTGAAACACTGTGGCAGACGATAAAACAACTCATAAAAGGCTGATTGGCTTGTTGGTGCCTTAGTTGTGGTGTAGAGTCTGAAATGGTCTGTGGCACTCTAGCATTTAAAAACAATCAGGTAATTGTCAGCATATTTGCTTTTTTTTTTTTTTTCCCTGATGCTTTGAATCAATGGCTAAAAGTGAACTCAGGATAAGTTAATGGGTTTTCAAAGCATACATTTGTGGGCTTGCCAACCTCTGGTCTTGGAAGTGTCTCCTTGTTTTGATATGAGGGATGTTTTGAATGAGAACGTGGAAGAAATGGCAAGAGAAATGCTGTGATGACTACAAGCGTTTGAAAAATTAGTACTGTGGCATCAGTGTCAGTTTTGTTCCAAGGCAGGGGAGTGTCCTTGCCTGTGTGCAGCCATCACCATGCCAAGCTTATCCTGTCCTGTATTCAGAAGAGTTTCAAGTCTGATTATTTACCTGTCCTTGAAACGTGAAAGACGTGACCCCTCCCTGCAGCTGTGGAAGGAGCTGGGTGTCCTGAGGATTCTTGTTCTCCTCTCCTTGCTCCTTTTCTGTTGGGCTGAGGTTCCTGTGAGCTATTTTTAAATCATATGCTACTACTGGTTTTGGAGTGTTTAAAATTCATTTGAGTTTTCTCCTGCCTTTCCTTAAAAAGTTATACTGACAGCTTTTACCTAAAATAACTTTCTATATCACCTCTTTAAAATGGTTTAATGGAAACAGAGCACACATGCCTACTTTGCACAGTACAGTTGCAGTATGATTCAGGACTTCCCACTGCATTTTGAGATGCTAAATCTGGAAACACACTTCCTATTTATTCCATTTGTGTTTGGTTTTCTTGGTGTGGTGTGGGGTTTTTTTTTTGGTTTTTTTTTTTTTTTTTACAATGGTGTATTCCTTCTTCAGTTTCTTGTGTTTCTGTCCGAGCGTAGGGATTGCTTCCTATTATAGTGTTTCAGCCCTCGGATAGCTGTACGCAGCCATGGTTTTGGGAGGGTGGGGGAATTATTCCCGTACATTAAATGGGCCCCGGCTGTGTTTGCCAGCCGGGAGATGCCCTTGGGGTGCTTCAGCCGGTGAGTGCTGCGCTCCGTCACCCCTCCGGCCCCGGGGGGCTCCCGGGCTCAGGTCCCCCCTCCAGCCCCGGCTGTCCCCCCTCCAGCCCCG